GGATTAAGAAAATGTGGCACATATACACCATGGAATACTATGCAGCCATAAAAAAGGATGAGTTAATGTCCTTTGTAGCGACATGGATGCAGCTGGAAACCATCATTCTCAGCAAACTATCGCAAGAACAGAAAACCAAACATTGCATGTTCTCACTCATAGGTGGACACTGAACAATGAGATCACTTGGACTCGGGAAGGGGAACATCACACACTGGGGCCTATCATGGGGAAGGAGGAGGGGGGAAGGATTGCACTGGGAGTTATACCTGATGTAAATGACGAGTTGATGGGTGCTGACGAGTTGATGGGTGCTGACGAGTTGATGGGTGCAGCACACCAACATGGTACAAGTATATATATGTAACAAACCTGCACGTTATGCACATGTACCCTAGAACTTTAAGTATAATAATAATAATAATAATAAAGAAAAAAGAAAAATATAGTCTTCTATTTAGGCCCAGTGCATACATTTGTTTAGAATACAAAATAGTTATTCTAATATTCTAATTTTTAAAAAGTTTTAGGGAAATTTTGGGAAACAAGTATATAAACCTATATTTGACTAAAAACATGTAATTGACTAAATAGTAATAACCTTTCAATTTGTTGTAAAGTGACTAAGTCTGTCACTTTTATACTTAAAATAACTCAAATTTCTTCCTTGACAAAGTAGAATAAGTGACTTTATCATTCAGCAAAATGGCTTAGCTCATTTAACATGTTTATTCATCCTATTAGTCATTCAGAGATATATACATAGTCACACCACTTCTGGCAATACACATAAAATTAAATAAGCTATATATCAGTGAATGTTTTCTATTTTGATCTTTGTGACAATAAATACATGTTTGGGAGACAAAAAATTTTAGCACTTTCATAGATTTTATTTCTCTTGTGAATAATTATTCAAGTACATTAAAGCTTTCATTTTACTTGTAAGCTTATCTAAAGGCTAAATTATTTGAAAAGTCTTATTTCATCACTTCCACAAAGGCTATGGGAAGTTCCTAGATAGTTGCAATTGGAACTTTCCACTGGACAAGGTGATATATATATATATATATATATATATATATTTTTTTTTTTCCTCTCTCTCTCTTCTGGTTGCTTCTTGATAAATATAGTAAGTGGATTGAAACCAGAAGAGAGAGATATGTACATAGGTGTAAGTCAAATCCACCAGATTTCTTTGTAATTTGAAGGTTTGCAATTTGAGAGCTTGCAACAAGTACACAAATACCTCTTCTGATACTATTCTCTCTCCTTTAAGATTAGATGCTTGATTTGCTCATCATTAGAGCCATTTGAATAAGGCCTCTTAAAACACAGACATAAACCCTGGCGAGAGGGTACGTCCCTATAGGACCAACTAGGGAGGCTGAGATGGGAGGAGTGCTTGAGCCCAGGAGTTCGAGTCCAGTTTGGGCAAGACCTTGTCTCTTAAAAGCAACACACACATACACACACACACACACACACACACACACACCTGAGAGGAGCAGCAGAATAAAACACCAGTCCCCATTAGGATTTTAATATGGATTACTGACAGATTAGCCACCTGCCAATTGATGAACTTTTTGGAAAGGCCTGGTGGAAACGTGACAGCATCTGTAGAGGCCAAAGTTCAGGCATCAGAGTTGAGGTTCCTGGGAAGTCAAGGAAATAGCCTGAAGACAAGGACCACTAATGATGTGTTAGCACAAGGAGGGCTTGACACTAAGAATGAACTTCCTCTGCTTTGTGCTTAGAATCCATCTGTTAAAATCATGGGACTTGCCTAGAACTAGGATAAAATAAGTGTGCATTGAGTTTGTATGTAGCCAGAAACATCATATCTGTAGATTAGAGACAAATATTGCAAAATAAAAAGTCTACAGTTTTCATCTATTTTTCCACTAGCCTAAGTAGGAATTCTGTCTTTATTTAAAAAATATTTGAGAAATGTGTTAATGAACTATCAAGTAAAGTAACATATTTAATCTAATCAACTAAGGAGACCTAAAATAAATGGCTTAATACAAAAATCAAGAGAACAGTTGGAAAAGGAAAAATGTAAGTGGAGTGACTACAGTAATCAGGTGGTTATATTGACTCTATGTTAAATAATTTTCTGACTTAAATTTGTATGTGCAATATGTATTTGAATCTATTATACATTGTATATAATATTTATATATAAACACATATATTCTAAAATATAAAATTAACTCTGTTTTCTTCTACTGAAATATTTTCTAACAGAATGGTATTTCAGAGTCACATATTTTTAGAAGGACACATTTATTTTATTTTATTTCTATGATCCTTTGCCAATCTGGATTTTATTATATAAAAAATTCCAAATTTGTTCTTAAAATATTGATTGTGAAAAGGTCTCAGAAGCCTAGCAGTTACTGCCACAAGAAAAAAAAAAAAATAACTAGGAAAATCTAGGTGATGACTACAGAAAAGGAAATTAATTCACTATGGATGTTCATATTCTTTGAAATGGTTTCCCAGGTTTTGCAGTTAGATTTTCTTGGGGTTACTAGATAAATGTAAAAGTTTATTCTAGCTCTGATATGTAGTAGTTTTGTGATTCCCTGGTAAAACCACATGAATTTTGAGTTCCCACTGTTTCATTGCCAAATTGGATACCAGTACTCCAAAGTTTGTCATGAGAATTAGATGGCATAATCTAATAAAGGCATGTAGGACAATGCCGGCCTAAGCGAAGGTCTCCATTGCACATTAATATAATCGGATCCTGAGCCCTAGGCTTAACCAGTTGTACATCTCTTTGAAGGGATAACACACAGGAGCCTGAAACAAGCAAGCAAGCAAAAAAAAAAAAAAAAAAAAAAAAAAAAAAAAGACTGCGAACTGCAGCACTGCATTTTTTATAGGAATTTTAAAGCATTTAAGATAATTGGAAAGGGGAAGATTTTTGTGATTTACTTAGAGGTAGGTCCTACAGGATAAAGGATGTGAATCAGAGTTTCAAAGGTGTAAAGATTTAGTGGAAAGTGGTGGATTAATAACAAGGCATAACTAGACGTGCAATCTTTTCCACTTCTTCTTTAGGTAAAAATGTTTAACGGTACTGGGAGTCGAGATGAAAGTATGGATAGTCTAGGGGAATTGAGAATGGAAAAGAGGAGAATTATGAGATTTATGAGAATACTCCAAAAACTTTATATACAACTTTTGAGGTTTCACTGAAGTAATTCTCCTCAGCCTTCCCTCAGGGAGATCATCCTTGTGACTGCAGACACCAGATTCAAAACCCATAAAGACTTCTAGTGCCAAATATAGTTTCATTTCCACCACCCTGCACAACACAAGGTATCTGTTAGTTGCTTGTTGAATATTCTGGATCTAAAGTAAATTATTTACTCTGATATTATAGATTTATCATCTCTGTCTCACTTGAAAAGCTATCTTCTCGGCACCCCTCTCAGCATTAACCCATTTTCATGGACAAATGCAACTCATGGCACAAGTCTAAGAGTTTTAACAAATACTCCCCCCAGCACAGTATTATTTTACCTGGCACCATCAGAAGAAATCCCATGAGGTCATTTCTCTTGAATTACAGTCAAAAGAAACAAAATCAAAACCAGCCTTTAAATACATTGTATTTGACTTCTGAGGCAACTCCAAAATGTTAATATTATTCTTGACTTCTCCTTCAATAAAACTGCTGATTTTATTTTCAATATTTTTTCATATTGTGAGTGTTATAGGCTAAAAGGAATGCATGAATTCGAAGAAGTCCATCAAACTGGCTAATGTGAAAGATGATGGTTCTCTAGAAAGATCCAGGAGGTTCATATGAAACTGAACAACCCACTCATAAATCTAAACATCCTTGTTTGGGAGGATTGTTGTTGTTGTTGTTGGTGTTGTTTTGCTTGTTTGTATTTTGCTTGTTGGCAGTGTTTTTTTCCTCATTCATGCTTTAATAGCAAAATCAGCACAGTTGAAGGTATTTTCTGTGAATTAACAGCTGTCCTTAGTTAACAGTCTTGACTTCACCAGAGTTCCCCACCCCAGAATGTTCCCATGCCTTCATCTTCTGATTTAAATGTTCTCTCTTTGTATATTTCAGTGAATCTTCCAGGTATAGTGATAGTCTTCTTGGGGCGAGGCATCTGGTCCTATTTTAACAGTATGAAGGGGAAGTACGCACATATATGAAAAAATATAGAGAAACTCCTGCACAGCTATCCCAATAACTCTGGTTGTTTTGGTATTGTTTTCTTTCATCCTCATTCCAGTACCCAACCACCTAAAATGGTGATCAGGAAAGCAATCCTATAGTTTTAATTATCAGTGCCAAGGTAAGAGCAAAGGGAAGGGTTTGCTTTTGGGAAATCTGATGGTGCAAAGACCATGACCGGTGCCTGGATTGAACAAACTCAATGAACTTTGAGGCTGCTTAATATGATTTAGTTAAGTCTTCAGTGTGAAATAAATTTGTAGGTACATTTTTACACGTGATAAAATCAAAAGACTATGGAGATAAATCATCAGCAGTGTTTAGAATTTAATTCACGTTGGACAAAATTCATAGTAAGCTAGATCATACTGCCTTGGAGGGATTCTTTAACAATGTTTTTATTTCTCCTATTCCAAAGGTTTCTTAAGTTATGTAAGCAATTAGATCATTTAATATAATACATACACCAGGCTGTATCTCCAAATGTCAGAAGAAATATTTGAATATCTATCTAGCCCCATTCCTTGAAATGACCCAGATTTGTGAATATAAGAAACAAGCCACAGAAATAAAACTTTTTAACTCCAGCTCCTGTCTTCACAAACCCTGTTTTAAGTAAAATTGGCTAAGTTCTATCAGTGAGCAATTGCTAGATTTAATTTAAATAACTTGACTGCCTAAAATATCCATGTTCATTTTCCTCTAGGGAAATATTTTTAATTCAGTTGAGCAATAGTATTGATTCACTTCTAACCTTTTTTTTCTCTTTGTGTTTTTTTTTCTTCAGATTGTTTTCTCCATTTGCATTGCTTTCTGGGGAGTTAGAAGCATGAAACAACTCACGTCTGGCCCCTGGAAATAACCTGAATTTGTACATAATTCTCTTCTTTTAATGAGTTGTCCACAAGCATATTAAAATGTAATTATCTTATATAATGCTTATATGAACTATTTCTTTAATGAAAGATAAAATTACTTATTTACTATTGTTTGCTTTTCACATTTTTAAATTTTCTATTAAAAATTAAAGTCACTTGTGGTTACTTCCCCCCTTTATTACTACAATTAAATAATATTTCAAATATAATCATGTTATATTAACTGACAGCCTATAAGACAACAAGTATAAAAAGAAGGGATGAAACTTAAAAACGGTAAAAACAAGAAGAAATATTTCCTTTGCATCGATTTGAAAACAATGTTTCCTTTGATGTCTGCTAAAATTATGCACAGATACATATTTGTAGTCATAAAAATGTATTACATTGGTTGTCTTCCTAAGGCCACCTTTACTTTTGCAAACCATATAATCTAAGAAGCTGCATTCCAGAAAAAGACATCACTGAGGCCAGATACAGTGGCTCACGCCTGTAATCCCAGCACTTTTTGGGGCCGAGGCGGGCGGATCACAAGGTCAAGAGATCGAGACCATCCTGGCCAACATGGTGAAGTCCTGTCTCTCCTAAAAATATAAAAATTAGCTGGGTATGGTGGCACACACCTGCAGCCCCAGCTACTCTGGAGGCTGAGGTAGGAGAATTGCTTGAACACAGGAGGCAGAGGTTGCAGTGCGTGGAGATCTCGCCACTGCACTCCTCCCTGGGCGACAGAGCAAGACTCTATCTCAAAAAAAAAAAAAAAAAAAAAAAGAAAGAAAAAAAGACATCGCTGAAGGAAAAATGAATAGAATTTGACAGAATTAGTTTTTTCAACAGGTTACCTTGTCATAGACTTCTCTAATGTGCTTAGTCAATTTGTCTTGGCAGACTGAGCAGCATGCAGCAATTCTGCATTACTTAAAATTGTCAGAACAATGTTAATTCTCTAAATAAAATGACCCAAGGTGTTGTGTATACATTGTTCATTGGGATTGTAAAAGACCGCCAAGTGTTTCATTAGGAGGGAACTGATAGAGATAAGCAGGATGAAGTCCAAAGAAGGAGAGCTGGAAAAAGTTTTAAAAAAAATCTTTATTTTTCATTTATCCAATATTTCTTGAAATCAAGTTAAAATTTAATAATTTAAATAACCAAAGACACATGTACTAAAAAAATTAATGCCGTTCTTCGTAGAGCTTTGCTTTATTTATCACTAGGTTAAAGAGCCTTACTAGTAGATAATCTCATATTAGAAATATGTTATTTAACCTCTGAATGGACAAAAATATGGAGTATTAAGAGAATCAGACTGCAGGTGTCTATGTGAACTCAGGATACAGAATTGAAGCACATTTAGTTTTCAAACTGGAACAGCAGAGGAAGATTAAATTTGGCATGATGAAAAAGCAACAAATTCTATCTCAAGTATCAGAAGTGGGTTTGGCTTTGCTTCATTCTTTTTATACTTCTTAATTTAACACATAGTTATAGAAAATTAGTAAGCCTATAACAAATATTAAATCCTGCTTTTGTCCTTTATCAACAATTTTTGCAGAATTTTGTATATACAGAATCATGTTACAGTAGGGAGCCCTCTGCTGGCTTGAAATTATGAAATTTAAGGCATAAACATTCTCAAGACCCTGATTCTACATTCTAGAGACTTTTCAGTGTGTAAAATACATTCTTCAGTAATGGCAAAGAAAAGAGACTTTTTGCTAATCTTTACATAGTTGTTTAGTATGTCAAAAGACCTTAATGGTTCCCCAAGGAATGACACGTAAGTATGTATAGATGCTTTAATATATGTGAATTTATACGATTAGCCTAAAAATGAGTTTAATAATGGAAATGTTAATAATAATTCCCCCAAATGATAAAAAATCCTTTTGTGGTGAAGTTCAGTTTTCTTTGAATAAATTGAATTCTGTCTATTCTCTCTTTTCTCTCTTCGGTTTACCTCACCGTGATTGTGAATGGTTTTCTATTAGAAATACAGATATTTTCAAGATACAAATTTGTACCAGTGAAAGTGGGAGTGGTTACCAGACAGGTAGTGTTCCTGACACCTCCTATACAAAAATTATAACAGTGAGAAAATTATGACAATGAGAAATCTGACCTAACAGACTCCATCTTGCTTCTAACCTCCAAGCTGTCCTTGTTTATTCCCAGGCGCAGGCCAAGCTAACTTTGGGAGGAACTTAGTTTATAGTTTGACTTCGAAACAAAAATGATAACAGCACTTTCCTAAAACAAACTCCCTTCTTGCCTGGGGCCAAGGCTGCCTTTGTAGGACTAACAAATTAGCCACAAGATTAGAAAATAGGCTTAGGATTCATACAGCTAGAGGCCACAAGATTCGAACTCTCCCCAATTGCTCCTAGGGATAAATAACATCACTATTGTGAAACCTCAGATTGGTGCTGGAGATATTTTTTAGCTCCTGCACTCCACGGATCAGCTGGCACCACCCAGATGGATACAGTGACTCATCTGGTCTTGTGGCCCCCGCCCAAAAACTGACTCAACCAAGAATAGCTTCAAGGCTCTTTGATTTTTATCTCTGACCTGATCAGTGAGCACTCTCCATTCCCTGGCCCCCTACCCACCAAATTATCCTTAAAAAACCCAGTCTCTGAATTTTCAGGGAGACTGATTTGAGTAATAATGAAACGTCAGTCTCCTATTCAGCTGGCTCTGCATGAATTGAACTCTTTCTCTATTACAATTTCCCTGTCTTGATAAATCGGCTCTATCCTGGCAGCAGGCAATGATCCCATTGGGCGATTACATTTCTAGGGCCTCTGTGCATTATTAACCAAGGCACTTAATTCTTCACTTTATTCTTTAACCCTGCTAATATTCTAGTCCAGTTTTCTTTTGCAGAACACTAATACATGATGACAGAACATACAGCTATTATTAATGTTGTAAATTGATCTTGAGTGATACCATGTAATTTATGCTTACTGGAAGGACTTTAACTCTCTCTCTCTCTTTCTCTCTCTCTCTGCAGGGAAAGCCCTAAAAATAGGACTCGACAATTACTCACCACTTCTAGTGGAGAGATACAAACTGACTTTGCAAATCATAAGAAGATATTTACTTTTCCTAATCTACCATAAGAAAAGATAGAGGAAAGGAGCATTTGTTTATTGAGTAGTCCTCTATTAGTATTATTTGATTTAGTCTCTAGAATCCTGTGTTAGGAGCTATTAACACTACTTTATAGAAGATAATTTTGAGTCTGAGAGGGGTTAAGTAACTTGTGAGACCCATGAAATGTAATAAGTGACCAAAATAAAATTTAAACTCTCTGAAGTTGAACATCGAAGTTCATGATGTTTCCCCATTCCACGATGTCAGACATCTGAGTAAGGCAAGCCTTTAAAAGGATAGGCCGAGGAGTTTAAGTTCAGAGTATTTTCCATTTGATTTGATGCTCCAAGATACAAAATAAAGTTATCAGGATAAGTATTTTAGTTATGAGATTAGTTGACAAGGTGAATGAGTCCAGAACTTCTAAACCTTCTAAGAATGATGATGTCATAGGTTTACTTATAGGATTACCATATCTCTGGAAGAGGCTACAGGACTTGTCAGTATTCTCAAGAAGTGCTCATTACCTTAGCTCTATTAGTTGTGTCATTTACTTCCACATCATCTTATTTCATCAAATTATTTTTATTAAACTGAATCTAATCATCTCAGAGTCCTGATATTTAGCAATATGTGCATTCCTAATCATGAATCAGATGTTCAATTAGTTGCTAAAGTAAATAAGCCCTTGCTATATTTAATATTAACAACTTAAATGATTGTTTATTAAATATTTTCAAATTTCATTTTTACTAGTGATTGTATAATTTAATCCCTCAGTGTGGAATCTGCAATAGAATCATTGAGTGGAATTCTTTAACATAGGGTATACATTATAGCATACAGTAATAGGATTTATTCGGGAGAACAATAGAAAACAAGCTTCCTTTTCAATGTCTCCCCCATGTTCTCATAGTCATAGACTCTGGAAACCCAAGATAAAATAGCGAAAAGCAGACTAGTTTGCCTTTCAGAATCTTAAAACATTTTTGATGTTATGATTTTCAGCAACACAATGGAAGCAGCTTGGTTCTATCTTAAACCTGCCTTAGTAGGAAAAAACAAAACAAAACAAAACAAAACAAAAAACAGACAATGTTCTTCTATTCATTATTAGAACATTTTTCAAGTCTCACTCCAGTTCTGCCACTCTTTCTTCTGGACATCATAACAACTTACATTCCTTCCTCCCCAAGACACAAAAAAAATTAGCAAATTAAGCAAGCATTGATGTTTATCTCTTGCAGATTGTGCCTTCTTTTTGACATTCTACAACTCTAGCACTATTTATGTAAAAATTTTCAACCACTCCAGGCACCCCAGTATCCATGAATCATAATAACTTCATTTCTCGGACATGTTCTTCCTTTGTTTTACCAGCAATAAGCCCCGAATTATAACCTGTCTTGACTTACATTACAGAAACCAGGAAGACGCAGTCTTTGCTGTATGTATCAGGATTACCAGTGGGTCTTTTTAGAAACGGAAATGACTCTCTGGAACATTGAATTTTGTAAGATTGAGGACGTGCCAAATGTTCTATATTTTTCAAACTTCTGGCAATGATAAGGTGCAGAAGCTACAGCCAAACTAGAATGAAGGAGAACTTCTCTAGTCCCTCCTGTCAAATTTTAGAAGTAAGCAGAAAAGTAATGCAGTGTGAGAGAATGTTGTTTCTATACCAAAGATGTTAATTAAGAGAAAGGTGATACTGATTAAGTAAGCATGGATATTTAGACATGCCACCAAAGTTTTCTGTTTCACATGGGATCATTTGGCATACATTTTAAAAGAAACAGAAACAGTCCGGCATGGTGGCTTACACCTGTAATCCCAACACTTTGGGAGGCCAAGGCGGGTGGATCACCTGAGGTCAGGAGTTCGAGACTAGCCTGATCAATATGGGGAAACCCCTTCTCTACTAAAAAAAAAAAAAAAAAAAAGTACAAAA